GCTGAGAGAGGATAAACATCATCTGGATTGCGAGGCACTTGGGTACCACATGATGGATAAACACGTTAAAAGGTGAAGAGGCAGACTGGAAACAAATATCACCCCAATCAGGAGCTGAGCTGCTGCAGTGCCAGCTACACGGGAGAGCAATTGCACTCTGCATAATCCCTCGTTTCTGCTCTACCTACAGGCTTGTTCTCATCAGCATCTGCTGAGCTGGGAAGTCCTAAAAGCTATAGATTAAAATGACACACTGGCAAGCCCCTGTCCCTCAGCCACTACCTATCTGTGTGCTAAGCAGGAGTGTGCTGTGGAAAGGTTTTAGCTCAGGGACCCTTGGATGGATGCACAGCATACCATTTTCTCTCATCCTCCCTCTGCTAGAAAAACCAGTGTCTCAGGAAAATACAGCCTTGTTAAACACAACCTGAGGGGGTTAGATGATGGCATGGGTAAGATCAGTGGCAGTGCTTTTGGCTGGTCCAGGGCAGAATGTGTCATCTTTTCTGTCACAAAACAGTTTGTTCCTTGCTGGGTGGCTCACTGCCAAGGTAATAAATAGAAGTTTCTAAAAAGAAATAAAAAAGGAAAAATAAACAGAGAGCAATGACTTGTTCTGCAAATTGATGGGAGACCTGCCTGAGGCAATGGATAAGGGGTGACAGGGATGAACAGCTCTCTTGTGGAGTCTTATTAAAGTGAGGAGCAGAGCTCTTCTCAGATACTCTTTATGAGATGCTGCCATCTGGGAGAAATCCAGATTGCCAATTACCAGAGAGAACAATTCCAGCTGGCCACGACACTGTCAAAGCAGAAATTATCTCCTTACACAATGGCACTGACTCAGACTGCTTGCAACTTTTGTCAACTTTGGGGCAGTTACACAAGTCCTGCCATCAGCCATAGTGCTATTTATTTGTATTGTGGAGTCCTATCCACAGACCAGGACCCCATTATTCCAGACAATATACAAATGCACAACAAATAGGAAATCCCAATGTATGCAAACACAAGGGCAGTCCTGCTCATTATCTCCTGTACTACACAGCATCTGTCTTATATCCTATGATGGCTTCTACCTGTTTCCTATCAGTATCTTATCTGCAACCTAAAGTGAGAAGAAGCTGCTGTATGCAGTATTAAACCACCACTTTCCTGGTGAACATCTGAGATCTAATTATTTCAGTAAAGACCTAGGAACTACTACATTGTGGCAGTAGCAGCACCAAGACCTATTATAATTTAGTAATGCTCTTCCTTCAGGTGGTCTCACTGAAACAGAGAAAGCAGGTGTAAGGATTAAGCACTGCTTCCAAAAAGCTCATGGAATGGCTAAAATATTATGCTTGCGCTGGTTCCTCACAGTGTTTCCCAGCTGTCCTTGCCGAGGAGACTTCTCTTAGGCAAACAGAGTGTCTGTGTGGCATGTTGTAGCCCAGTTGTGGGGCCAGCCCCAAGACAGCTGTGGCCCATGGTTGTTCAGACCTAGCTCTGGACTGTGTCCTGAGACAGGCAAAGAAGCTCTCTTACACCAGGCTATCGTGAAATCTGAACCAGGGCAGGAAGTGAGGCAGCCATGCTGGCATTACCAAGTCGTGGCAAAGGCCTGCTGACTGCCCTTTCCTTTGCTGACCAGATAGTGCCTCAAGGAATGTCTGTCCCACTTCTGCCTGTGATCTGGGACCTCCCATAGATCTCAGGAGAAAGAAATGCATCATATACTGCTATGAGCAGGATATGTACCCACTTTGAAATACAAGTTGATGGAACAAGACATTTTTATCCATCTACAGAATTTAAATCTGAAAGCAGTGAAAAAGCACAAAGACTCCTCACTGACCCCACTGTAGAGCTGTAGCCCATGCAAAAGCTGCAGTTTCATCTTAATCTCACAGAGAGGAATACCTCCGGCACAGGCTTTGACAAAACAGTTCACAGTACCCTAAAATTTTGTTTCTTCCCTCCAGAGGATGATCATTGGAGAAAGGGGGGCCCTTGCATGGTAAAACCCTCACAGACAAAAAAAAAATCCAGCCAATGGAGAAAGCCCAGGCAGCAGCAGGACACTGTGCTCTGCTAGACAGTGAGCAGATTTGTAAGAAATTAACACCCTTGGCTCAAGGGAGAGCCTTACGGATGTTTTCTATCCCTTCTTGAGACTTCACGTCTTCCCCAATAAATTTTCTCTTTTTAGACAAGAATTCTGCCAAAGAGGAAAATGTCTGAAACCACCTCATTAATTAAGGAGCCTTGAGTTTTGATGATTTTCCATGGAACTTCAGACTCTGAATTGACTTTTGAAAAATAAATGAGCTTAGGCTCACTTAAGCACTTTTTCAACTTCATCCAAACTGGTTGAGTGAAGAAGGATCATTTAAGGACTGAGATTTATGAGGAGGAAATACTGTTGTGAAACAAATTTCCACTAAAATGAAAACTGAAAAAATAAGTGACTTTGGCTGAGAGGTGCTTTAGCAGTGAAAGTTTTCTTAGTAAAACAAGAAGTGTCTGAGAGGCCCTTCTGCTTTGTCATTCATTAACATTAGAAAAACTAAGAAAAAAAAAAAAGAGAAGCTTTCTGTTTCTTAAAAGAACTGAAAAAAGGAGTGTATTCCCAAGAGAAATGTTCAGTTTGCATTTTTTCCCATAGTATCTTTTTGTCCACCAAGAATTAAAAGAAAACGGAGGGTAGAACTCCAGGCATAATCTGTGCTCCCACCTGCATTTGTCTGACTCTGTATTCCCTACATCTATCTTTTACCTCATTGGCTATAGGAGAATATGAAGCAAGAACATATAAAGCAGCCAGTTTTGCTTTGACTAGAGATATGTGGGGTCCTCCAGGACCCAAACACAGTAGAACATCATCAGCAAGTGAGTGATAAAACTATCTCTAAATTAGTTCTATGTTTTGTGTCTACCACTATTCTTAACTAGGAAGGTCCTGTCCTCTTCTATTCCACTCCAAGTTTTTACAAAAAGCCCAGAAGGAAAAGAGTGTACCTGTTATTTCTAGCCCTGGTAAACTTCAAGTGAAAGGTTCCTCTTTTTTCTGCTTAGCCAGAATCAAGAGGAAATCAAATGGCTCTGTTGAGCTGTGCTGATACTGCCAGATACTTCCCCATTTTGCATGTCAGACTGCAGTGCCATGTTTGTGCCTCCTTGATGGCTTTAAGTCCTTGTCCTCGATGTATGCTCAAGCCTGTAACCAGAGTCTCCACAGATATGGCTTCCACAGCCTATTCCCTTTTGGTACGTCTAGGGAGGTGACTGAGGAGACAAAGGCTTTTTGTATCCATGGCAGTGACTCCTCTGCAATATGTTGTGTTCCATCTCAGAAAGCCATCAGATGTCATTTCATGCCATGTCACACAGAGTGACAAATTACTGCCAGAACTGAGGGTTTTCCCCTGTCCTGTCTTGCTTCACACAAGTCAACACTGATGCCAGGCAAAGCATTAGAAACTGTATGGTAAAGAGTGTAGATCACAGGAATCTTACTGAAATTCCAGGTCACCGTGCTTATCTTGTCTGTGTCCCATACAAGACAGAACTGTTTTGGTCTGCAGAGAAATGAAACTTGTGATAATACCCTAAAAAGGGACTTGTGATACGCTCCAACAGATCCAAGCCCCAGACCATCCCAGAAATAAGTGTACAGCCAGCCAAAATGGTTTTAACTTCAGAAGTGAGAAGTCAAGTGAGAGCATTTTGGAAGCCTGGCAGAACTACACCAGGGCAGTTATGCAAGACTCACTTGATAAACAGTGCTGTGTTCAAAGAGTTTGGTTCTGGGGTACTTACAGAAAAGTACAGCTGAGCCCACAGTTTAGGGTCAGTAGCCTCAGAGAGACCAGACTATGTTGGCACAACCCTAACAAGCTTCCAGGGCAAGTTTATGGACAAACTGGTCTTTGAGACCATGTCAGCAAGGCAGCAACATCACAAAGGCCTGACACATGATAACTGGTCCCCCAGTTGTCTGCTGTGACAGGAAACGTCAGAGGCTCATCCCTTGACATGACTCCAACTGAATATGGGCATTAAGCCAGAAACTGCTCTGTGATGGGATGTACTGCCTTGCCTCTTTGCCAGGGACTGAGCCTGTCAAAAAAGGTCAGGCCAAGGGTGATAAGAGTCAATCTTCAGGTTACCCCAACACAGTGAAAGACAATTTACTTCCTGAAGCCTGGAAGGGGCAGACAAGAGAAAACACAAAAAAGTGGGCAAAACATGGGAAAAAATAAGCAGACGGGGCTGTCACCGGGTGAAGATTGTACTGTGGGCAGGAAATGTCTCTTTGGGATAGTTTCAAAAGTTTCATTTTCTGCCTGTGTTCCAGAGGCCAGAGGCAAGAGCCTGACTATTTTTAAAGATAAGTTTGACGCATTATGAAGGACCTTTTGTGACATGATAGGGTGTTGCAGTCAGGAAATGGACACCCTGACCCAGGAGAGGCATTCCAGTGCTGCGCTCCTGAGCTCGGGTTCTGGACGCTACAGGCTCCACTCTTTTTCTCAGGAGGAGACAGGAAAAGAAATGAAAAAAATCCAAAAGCCAAACCTTTCATTTTACTCAAACAGAAATAATCCAGAGGGAAAGAGGAAACTTCAGGAAGCAAACTCAGATGAACAAAAATAAGGGTGTATGTATGTCAGATGTCCCCTTTAACTGAGTAGTAGTGCTATTCCTGGGATCTGGGGTTTGACATCAGGCCAGCAGTAGTAGCTGGGCACCAATGACCTATGACTTGCTGGGTTGATGTGAAAGCACAAGTCCATGCAAGGTATTCCAAAAGTCAGTGCCTCCAATTAGGCTGTGAGAGTATGTTGCCAAGGGGAGCCCATACTAGCATGTAATCTGATGCAAGCCCAAAAAGCTGGAGGTGTTGATCTTGAGTGCTAAACAAAAACACTGAAAACTAATACCCCAAAGACTTGGTCTTTTGTATCTGACCATAAAACTTGAGAAGCTGAGCAGTGGTTACAGAGACAACTTACCTGTTGGAAATATAGGTCTCATCCTCGGCTAGAAATCTCAACTGCTTTCCCCATCCTGGGGACCACAGCTTCAGAGTCCTTGCCTCGTCACAGAAACAGCAAATGCACATTCAGGCAAAGGGGCACTACAAAACAGAAGCCACCAAGAAAGCTGGGACAGTTTCCCACCTGGACAATAACAGTCTCCAGTGTTCTGCTAGGAATTGGAGTGACATAAGCCTCTGCCCTGCAGAGAGGAAGACACTGTATGGGAGATTCCCACTTGGTGTTCCTTTTTGCTCCACTCCATCAGGATTTATTCTGCCTCCATCTATCCTTCTTCTCTGGTCCACTGTCACCTCTCATCCTGACACAGAAGAAAGAGCTTTAAGGTGGAAACTGTGTTATAGAATTCATAAAATCAAATGCTCAGAAGTAAGAGCCATCTTGGTCATGACTGTATTAAAAATTAAATGGTGCCAGGTTGTGTTCCCAGACTCCAGAACTGAATCACCCACTCAAATTATAGTACATTCCCTGTCACTTTTTGACCCAGACCAAGGAGGGGTCCTACCAGACAATGTCTTTAAACAGTCTGTGATTTAGCCCAGGCCAGGAACAATTCTTCATAAGGAGTTTGCAGACAGCCACCCTCTTCTGGAGGGTAATGATGTTTAATGTAAGTAAATGCAGACCTTTCCATTCCAGACCTTTCCATTTCCGTTGGTTTCAGTGCCAGAGAAAGATCCTACATTTAGTTTCCTAGTACAGCTGTAGCCTACAGTATTGTTCAAGGAGCAGGGTAGACAAGACTACAGGGTTTGGAAATATCTCTCATGCAACCTGCTTATAGTGTGAAACAACATCATCCTTCACATCTCTGTGACAAAGAGAGCTGTGGCTGCTTCCTTCATCTCTGTCTCAGTTTATTAAATGGCTCATTGGTAAACTTATGGGAATAAACTACAACAGGCATGAAACTCACCTTTTTGGAAGGTATAGCAGAGAAACAGCAGCACATTTCTACATCTAGGGCTCTGGAGTAGCTAAAACTATATGTAGTGGGGAGGAGGAAAGGAAGACTGCTCAAAAAGAAATGAGGTGTGAGGGCAGGTCACACAGGGCAAGATTACTGACTAACCATGAGTCAAGGGTCTCATGCCAATTTACATTGCCCAGCTGATGCTATCCAAAAAGCTTACATGTACATGCAAGTCAAGCTACAAACTTTCAACTCCATTCATCTTTTGCATCAGAAGTACTTGGAGCACAACAGCAGTAAATTAGTGCCAGCTCTCCCACTGAGATAATTCAGAGGATCTTTTCCTGCCCAGCAGGGTCTGATTTTTCATGTAGATTCCACATTGTGATTAATATGGAGGCATTTTCTCATCTAACAGGGGGAAAAAGCCCCAAAAATACTCTAAAATCTTCAACAAATAGGGCTTTTTTAGGGAAAACTTGCTTTGTTTCTTCTTCTCTTCTCAGTGAACTATTAATTTAAATTAAAAACTGTGCCTGCAATGGGCAATGATACAAAGAGATTGATTGATCCAGCCTATTTCACCCTCATGTAACTTTTGGGGTACATGTACCTTCTGAGTGAGGCTTGTCAATCACCTTGGTACTTGATATTGTCCTTACCTCCCACACCACTGATTAGTGTCACTCACTGAACGAGCAGAGAGGGCGCGGAGGCAGATTCTGACAGAAGCAAGAAGCTTACTTCAAATCAAACTTGCAAAACACAGCCTAAGATTCATGCCATGTAGGTGGAGGGAGGAGGAGAGGAACACATCTTTTCCTTGAAGGACTCATGGCTTCATGGCTGCTTTTATTTCATGTAAAAAAGAAACTGTCTAGTTTAAGGAGGAGAAGAGAGAAGGTAGGTTGGTTTTTAGGACCACTGTGTGGTGCCTTGGTAGTAAAACAGCACAGGGTGAAGGGGTGAGGGATATACCAGGAAACTGCACTATTGTGGAGGGTCTCTGTGAAAGCAGGTCATCCATACCCATCTACCAGAGACAGCTAGATTGTTTTTATGGAATGATTTCCACATGGCAGGAGCCCAAGGGATTCTGAGTATGATAGAGAGGTAGGGAAGGAAGAAGGAGAGAAGTGGGAGGCTGGTTTTCACGTCTGCACATTGACAGCCAACATCTTGGAAGCTCGATGGAGAAGTCTTCTGGTAAATGTTGGCCTAAGAAGAGGTGACACACAGTAGCTAGAAATGGTGTGGAGCTGCAAAGAACTGAACTGGAATCTCTCCAAAACTTGAGCATGCCTGGGAATTGGAGCTGTGTTCACATCCTGTGAAGGGTTTATTTGGATGTTATTGAGTTGAAATGGGCGTTGGAAGGTCCTAAATTTTATCTGGCTGCGAACAAAGAACATCAATTATACCTCAGACTGGGGTGTGACAGAAATATCTGTGTTACATAGTGGTTATTCAGTGCATTTGGAGGCAGGACTTGTCTGGAGTGAGACAGAGATTTACCTGTATGGCATGGGTTCCACCTTCTGCAAAACTAGGCTGTTAATATTGCTGAAATAGGTACTGTAAGGCTTAGGAATGCTGGGAAAAGGGTCCAGGGAGCCCTAATACCCCAAAGTCAAACAATAGTGAGCCTGAACCACTTCCACTGATGGCAGTGAGATCTGAGTGGAAGAAGGGAGTAAGTAGGGAGGTTTGCAATGGGGTTGGACTGGGCTTTTGAAAGAGGCATATCGTCGGAGTGTTACGAGCTTTGACATCTGCGGGATGAGGAGCCTGGACAGCTACATTTTGATGTGAGAAAGGAAGCCTTAAGGGAAAGAGGACGTAAAAGGCAATGGAGGGCTAGGAGGGAGCTCTTAAGGGTAGGGACAGATCCTCCTGCAGTCATTCAGGGGAAAGAGAGTACTTGGAGCAGCAGCTGCACATCCCAGCATTAGTCACCAGCCCCCAGCCAGTGTGTCAGGAGCCCCAGCCAGCTTCAACAGCCCTGGCAGAGGCGAGGGGAGCTGCAGGAGCAGGGCTGCCCAGTGCCTGTCCTGCCTACACCCAGACCCACCTCCTCTGGCCTCTCATAAAAGCAGCAGATCCTGGACTAACCTGGCACATGGACTTCCATCCCCCTCTTGGGCCACTAACTACAACCCACAATGCCACCAGTACCCTTAGAAGGCCATTATGTGAATGCATACAATTAGGGATTACAACACAGCTTGATTCTGTACCCTCTGACACTCCCAGCAAAGCCCTGCTTGGGCAGGAGTCCTTTTCAATGCAGGGATGGGGTTCTCCACATGACGTTCACACTTTCAGGAACTGATCATTTCACTGCCAAACAAAAGCCATACAGCTGGATTCTGTGCACAAATGACTCCATCTAGAAATAGATGCCCAATTAAGGGAAAAGATGCTTCCAAAAATCATTTCATTTCCTACACTTTAGAAGCTTGCTTTCTTTGTTTCTTTCTTTTTTCTTTTTTTTTTTTTTTAATTGACTTTTCATGTTAATCAGTTTGGGGTTGGTTTATTTTTAACTGAGTTTGTAAATTCCTACACACTAAGCCTCCAATACACAAAGAACAGAATCTGCTATTTATCTTTGTTTTTTAAATTGCAGAACAGCTATCACATTTTCCACTCCATCTTTTGTCTCAAAGACCTTCATGCCATTGTAATTCAATAGACCTAAGATCTGTTTTTAAGGGAAGCTGCAGAGCTCAGAAGATCCAACACCAAGCAGGCCCTGTGAGTTTCTGAGTGCTCTTAAGGACAGTCAAGAGAAGTAAAAAGTTTTATGATGAGGCTAGAACAACGATCTAGCTCACACCTGTAATGAAGTGCATCCAACAAATGACCTGTAATGGGGAAAAAAAAATGAGCGTTCACAGAACAGATCATTCTGCCCAGCAGAGATCCCTACAGCCTCATGGAAAATCATTCCTTGGAGTTAGTGAAGACAGCAGGACACATGGAGAAAGGAAGGGGAAGCTGCTTAGAGCAGGTTCATGTCAGGCAGGTGTGATTTCTTGGCCTGTTTTCGTGCCACATCTTTCTTCTGGGCTTATCCATTTTCAATAGCTCAAGACTACCACTCTTCAGTAAATGCTGCAGTTTGATGGAGAGTAGGGTCCCCATCCTTCCCAGGCTGCCAGGAACCAAAAAGCCTCCTGGAAAAGCATGTTTTGCCAGAGTGTTGAGCTAGAATTGCCCAGCTGGTTTGGCACTGGGTTTCATCAGGATTTCCACCCTCTTGCATTTCATTGTCCCTCATCTGCAAACACCTGAGCCTTTGGTACAGGGCAACCAAAAAACGCAGGAGAGGTCAGTGGGGCAGGTGGAGGTGTCAGTGAGTGCCAGAGGATGGAAGGAGAGGGGAGATGGAATTCTCCTACACCACGCTCAACACGGATTTGAGCCACGCTGAGTGTCAGCGCGCTGCCCCTCTCTTGCGGGTGAGGAGAGGGGCTGGGGATGTGTGTGGGAGCAGCAAAGGGATGGGCCAGCACGCTTTCCCTGCCGGGGGCCATCCAGGGAGCCACCCTCACACTCCTCCACCACGGCTGGCAGCCGGGATCCCCCCGCTGCTCTGCGCTGCTCAGCCGCCTCCACAGCTCCGCACAGCGCCCCGGGCTGTCTGTGGGAGACGACGGGGAAGGGGTGCAAGAAGCCAAATAAAAAACAAACCCAAAAAAGAGAGGGAGAGGGAGAGAGAAAAAGGAGGAAAAATCACCCGGCCCCCTCGGCGGGGGCGCGAGGCGCCAGGGCGCCATCTCGTGGCGGCTCCCCCTCAGTGACGGCCCCGCGCCATGTCCGCGCCAGGGCGCCCGCCAGTGCCCAGAGCTCCATCCCCCCCGGAGTGTCACCAAAATGCGAATTCCTGCACATAATGCAGAAATTCTGATTAACTGGATTATTTGGAGGGTGGGGGAGTTGAAAGGCCGGGAAAGCGCTTCCCAGCGTTTCAGCAGCAGTCATGAGCCTGAGCAGCGGGTTGAAAGCGTCCCCCGAGCTGCGGCTCCCACCCCTCAGAGGCCCCGAGGCTGGCACCCCGCTGTGCAAACACGGTGGCTCCTGGGGCGGCCCCTCGGCCGCAAGGCTCGGCATGCTTCTGCGGCTCCCGGCGGCCCAGCCTTCCCACTTTTTTCCCCCAATTTTCTGACAAACTCAAATCAACAAACGTCAGTTTGTTAAACATCGTGCTCTAACCGCTGTAAAGTCCGGTGGCGTGCTGGTAACTAAAAGCCTGAGCAACCATTCCTTTGCTGCATATGCCAGGTGGGAAAATTCTCAGCTGAGGAATTGGATATCGCTAAGGTCTTCATCTATGGGCAGCTTGCCTTGGCAGTGTTACAGGAAGGTTTCCATGACCAATCATGGAAATTCTGGTCAAATGAAGAGGGAAGGCAAAATAAAAGTCCTTGTGAGCAGCTGTCAGGCAGCTACTGTCCTTTGTAGCTCACCTCAGAGTGCTTGGCTCTCTTTCAGAGAAATGATGATGATCCCAAAGCTCAGGAAGAGAAGAGGACTAAATGAGTTCTCAAGTTTTATTCCAAGCTGAAGTATGGCAGCAGAACTGAAAGCCTTCGTCTCTGAATTAATTGTTCTTGACCTTCTTAGTCACTGGACTTGATGCAATGACTCACTGCTGACAGAGTATGACCATTTGCATTTGAACTTTTCACAGGGAATGGTTTGATGCTGTTTGGCTTGACTGGAAATCTGGCAATCCAACCCATTACATCTAGCAAAACGAGGGAAGTCTGTTGTGACAGTATCAACCACTACATCTTATGTATAACTCAGTGCTCCTCAGATGACATTAGAAAAATAGATTTGGGGTTTTTTTTCTTTAGAAAGTAGTAGAGATGATCTGTATCATCTGGGGCAATTTTTTCTGTCCTTCAATACAGCCTCCCTAAAAAATTTCCCTCCATAAACTTCAAGTTGAGCTCACAATGAAACTAATGTCAACTGTGTCATTTGGGACTATTTTCTGCAACTGAATCCAGTTTTGTTGCAGTGCTCATCTCCTTTCTCTGACTGTTTTCTAAGCCAAGCCACCTCCTATCCTGACACCTTCTACTTGCTAGAATCACTCATTGAAGTCCTTTGTGTTATGGTGCCTACTCCTACAGACTGAGCACACTGTCTTTCACAGTTACCCAAAGGAGTTATGTGAAGAACAAGTAGATCCATTTGAGTGTATTTTGTGTCTGACAGTTTAAAGCTGTGTTGAGTATATGAGGCCTGTTATTAAATCATGTCACATTACCTTGTGCAGCAGGATGGAGCATCTGGAGCCAAATGAGCAAAGTCTGTCCTTGGTTGGAGTGACTGTCCCTTTCTGGAGCAGGTTAAGCCTACAAGAGAAACAGCAGGAGTCAACAGCTGCACGTCAGGCAGGCTGTGCTTACACCCAGCTTTCCTAGAGGAACTTTAGAAGCTGCACCACAAAACTGGATGTGGTCTTCTCAGGTGACTTAAGGAATGATAGTTATGCTCTTATTTTTTTACATTCATGGGGAGTGAAACAGATTAATTTTACCTTATTGGGAAATTATCTCAGTGCAACCCTTACTGGCAACAAATGTCAGCTCAGCAAGGTTGTCTACAGAGCACAGACTATTTATCTTTTGTCTCTTGTGCTTTGTCCAAACACTCAGCCATTCCTCCACAAATTATAATAAAAATTATATGATGATATTTTGATACCTCAAATGCATCAAAAGGTTTACATTGAGGAAGTTGTGGTTTTTTGGTGGGTTGTTTCTTTGGTTTTTGTTTTTTTTTGGTTTTTTTTTTTTGTTTTGTTTTGTTTGTTTGTTTGTTTTTTTGGGTTTGTTGTTGTTGTTGTTGTTGTTTTGGTTTGTTTTTTTTTTAATAAATGATGTCCTGTGGAAGGCTGGGGAAGATGTTCTACAATGAAACTCTGAAACCATCTGAATGTGGAATGACATAGCCCACCACGAGGTCTGTAATAAAGAAGCATGTTGAATCTGAAGATATAAATGTCCTTTCCGTGGTTCCAGTTCTCATTTCAGTGTCTAATCAGATCTCCAACATCTGGCTAGATGCTGCTGTGTGAGCAGCTGTTCCACATCTGGGACATTGGACAGTAACAATTAACTGAATGGAAGAAAGAGTCTGAGCCAGGAATCCCAGCTTTAGAACAATCTTGGTTTGAAAAGAACTTTAGGATTTACTGAAGAGTTGGGAGGAAGAAATCCCACGTTCTTGGGCCAAACAATATCTCCTCCAGTAAGGTATGTGACAACATCCCAAGGAAGTAATGACAAGAAAGAAGAACTAGTCAGTGCTAGTTGAAGTGCTTTTTATTCCCTTTCTTATTTTTCTTTGCTCAGTTTCCCAGAGAATTTGTTCTTGACCCATCTGTGCTGTGGTACCAAACATGACTCAAACTATTACTAATGTCACCATTTACAGTCTTTCTCTGCAGCCAGGGTGGGCAAATATGCTTCCCATTTCTGTTTCTGTCGCAGGCCAAATCCCAATTACTCAGGGAAAAATAAGCAAATGAACAAGACATGTCATGACAACTAGTTTAGGCCGTATGGGGCAGTTGTATTAATTCCTCCATAGAATAGTTTTCTCAGGACCCAACAGTGCACAGCACAGGAGTAGAGCAGAACTTGGTATCATCCCTTGCCACTAGTGTGTCAACTGCACCACTCAGCTTGGTGTCATCTGCAAAATTGCTGAGGATGCACTTGATCCCACTACCTGGGCCATTACTGTTAAATTGTACTAATATTGAACAGGTTTGGTCCCTGTATGGACTTATGAGGGTTTTCTATGGACTTCTGACCACAAGGGTCAGTGCACACTGCAAGGACACCACTCTGCTTTCTTAGGCATACCCGGTGCATCTTTTGCTCTTTTCTCAGTTTGCTCCAGTCCCACTCCTATAAGAACAGCCTAACTGGGAACAACTCTTGTTGTAAATATGAGCCTTATTTTACACAGTAATTTGTACCAAAAAATTTCCTATCCAGAATTCTTAATAGCCATCTATGGTATCCTATTAGGCAGAGAAACCCTGCACTTGGCCAGCTCTGACACCAGTCAGCCAAGTGCAGAGGATGAGATTTAAATAAAACAGTTTATTAAGGAAAAAAAACAAACAAACCAAAGCATCTCAACAGTTCCCCAAATAAAAGTGTCTGGCTGGTCCCCCCTGATTTCCTGCAACACTTACCCACCCATGCAGCCTCACAGTTCTTGTTTAAGGACACTTGCGGAGATGAGAATGAGTTTGCTACTGTTAACAGGGGACCATGGCTGGCAGTCATACCACGTGGATTTAGCCATGACATCTTTGAGGATGCAGAGGCCACAAGAAGAGCAGTGTCTCCTCCATGAATGCCCTGTAAGGGGGAGAAATGAAAGAGAGTGAATATGAAACAGGGACTCTAAATGGCAGCAAAACTTCCCCAGGAAACCTAGCACCAAGCTCCAAACCAGTGAAGAAGGAGAAAAAGCCCATGTGGCAGGAATTTGGTAACTGTTGCTGAGCAGAACAGAGCCCACCCTTTGCACAGCAACAAGAGCTCATTTTGACTGATTTCCATGGATATCTGCTTCCACTACATCTGCTGTGAGGAATTGCAGTTTGAAGGCTTTAAATAGATCACAGTTATTGCCACAAAAGGCACTAATAAAAGGGGCTTATACTTCAGCTGATGAATAGATGCAGAGCTGATTTCCAAGTTTGTACTGCATCATGAGCAGAAAAAAAATCACTAACCCTAAGCCTGTGGCAAAGAATTTGCTGCGTGAATCCAGGTCTTTGAAAAGTCTCACACCCACTGAAATTGATGAGTATTGAGAGGCCATGTACATTTGGGGGTCTGGAATGAAACATTTAGTTCTGTGTATTAACTCTAGCCTTTGTGCTGTACATACACACACGTACACCCACACACATGTGCTCCCATCACAGACTTGATTGTAGGTAACTGTAGGCAAGCACTTCCAACAGGAGGGAAATTAAATGCCCGAAGAAAGGTTATTTTTTAAATTCCTTTCAAAGATGCTCTGCCTTCAAGATACAAGTGATGTGTCTCTCCTCTCTTTCAATAGACACTCTCTAGTATGTATTATTTCTTATCTCACCAACACCAGTACTTGAAAGGATGCTGTACTCTGCAGCACTTACTCTGTTTTGGTCTATTTCTAACATTGAGAGGCTATAGCACACTTTTCTCTGTAATTAACCCTTTACTGAGGGTGATGCAGTGTTGTCCATCTCCAACCTGACTGTAGATGGAAAGAAAAAGTATTGCCTCCATTTCTATTTTTCCCTACTGTATGTTGTCAGAAGAATTGGAACTGAAGACTTCCCAGTTATGAGCTACTGTCTGTATGAACAGGGATGTGATGCAGTTGGGAAAAAGAAATGTTTCTTGACCATCCTCCGTAAAATCTGTACATTCCTTCCAGCCAGGCACAGCTGCAAGCTATCCTCAAAACAGAGTAATAAGGAAAGAAAACCCTCTTTCTCTTGTTGCACTCACTGAAGAGAACTGTGAGTGCGGGTAGATCCAGATGTTACTGTCAATGAGGTGGGAGGAGAGGTTGGATGCATAGCTTGCAGGAAAAACAACCCCAGACTCTCTGAACACCACACAGCAGGCTGTCACATAGGCTGTTGTTCCCAAGCAGATACCTCATGCTTTGCAGTATGTCACTTAATGCTAGGCACAGAAATGTCTTCTCCCTCCTCTCTCCATTTTTCTTCTCAAAGAGAATGCCCTTGGGAAGGAGTGGTCCCATTAGGACTTAATAGCCTCAAAGGTGTATGAAGGCTTTTAGACAGCCCTGGTTAGAAATACTGGTAGAAATACTCCAGGCTGAGCCACTTGCCCAGGACTCCAGCACACCAACAGAGAGTTTGGTGATTTAAAAGGATTCAGCCAGCCATATGGTGAGTGAGGAGGGCTAGCTAAATACAGTCAGTATGAAAAACAGCAGTGGGGTTTGTTTGTTTTTTTTGGTTTTTTTTTTTTTTTAAGCCTACTCCTTTAGAGCCTAGGCACATGAGCTAAGCTCCTGAAGGCAAGCCCCTTCCAAAATGGAAAGGCACAGCTCATTTTTAAAAGACCAAAGGATTGTGAGCTATCTATGTGATAACAGGCATGCACTTGAACCTTGTTCACTAATCACATCATTGGATGGAGATAGCTGGAACAGCATTTTTTGCAGGCTGGATTAGGCAAAATATGACTGGATCTGCCAAAGTAGGCAGAAGAAGGTCACTTCTGTGGACTATAAATTAAGTTAGGCAAATGAAACCTGGATGGCTTAGACCCACCTAAGATGGTGGCAGAATGTTAGAAGTCAATGAGGGGAGTACAGATGAAATTGTAGGCATGTGCATAATTACACAGGAAGATGTGAGGTTCATACACTAGGATTTAGAGACCTCTCTTCTACTGGTGACATTTAGATATCCATGTCCTTCATTATCTCAGTCTGGGAGTCTTCTTTTCTTTGGAAGTGAGAAGATTAGCAATTTCCCAAGTGTCACCATAGTTCATAGTTCATCTCCAGAGAACTTCAAGTTCAGCCCCACAGTCTTTAGACTGCTTCATTTTGCATGCAGCATCTGTAATCTGTCGGGGTATTTACACTGCGCCCGCGTTGTGACTGCATGTCTATACACAGGATGTCCTTTGGCAACTGCTAAAACACAACCACTTCAAAGCAAGAACTGCTCACTGGCAGATGGCAAAACTTCATGTGTCTTCCTACACAAAAAGATCACAAGCGTCCACTGCCCTGCAGCCAGCAGCCTGGCCTAGTGGACAGCTGAATGAAAAAAGCCTGAAAACAATGTGCTCATGCCTCTCTGCCTCGGTTTGCCCTCTCTAAAATGGGCTTAACTGCACAGTACTGTAGATGGAAAACATAGATAGGCCTTTAACTAAAGTCTAGGCTAAGAACAGTAGAGCAAATAACTCAGGCATATTGTAAGAGGAGTGCTGTTTTGGTATTTTGTAGACTGAGAGTTTTAAACTAGATGAAGCTGAGTTCTTAATTACCGTTAGAAATTAGAGCAGAGCTTGTCCCAGGTGACACTTACAGTCAACAAGTTTCTGATCTAAAACAGATAAGGAAGCTATGACTCTGCTCAACTAGAAAAACCATAGTAGGAAATATGTTAAGAATTATTTCTTAATTACTCTTCTTGTTATGAGCTTGCAATTTTTGACTGTTATGAACTCCATTTCATGAGAGAGGATTTTGACTGAAAAAGAAAAAAAAAATGGATGATTTTACGCACTGAGGCATGATTTCTCATCTGTAGAGGGAACACAGCAAAACACATAGGGACACCAGCTTCAACGTGACATGCTAAAATTAGCTGGGGAATTAGTTGAGTTAGCAATACCTGCTATTATCACGGCAAAAGCAAAATGTACAAAAAGTTTCTTTCTCATGGTTTATGGGCCAGCTTTGTGAAAGCATCACATCCATAATCTTAGCACCATGAGATAACTCCATTTTTCTTCCCTTACAAAACTATACCAATTAGCAGCTTGCGTTAGGAAACTCCCTCCATTGCATTACAGAAGAAGGATTGTCAGGATGATGCTACTGCTCTTCAGGAGGCACTAAGAGAGTAAATAACCTCAGAAGGGAGGCAGCTGTGCCTCCATTTCCCATCTGTATTTCATTTTTCTTTCTTCCTTAGGAGCCCCATCGATTCATTTGCCCTCAGAGGGGGAGCTGAGGGCTACAAGTGTGGCACTTGGTGTGCTTTTCCTCCTCTTTCACCATCTCTGGACAGTTTGTCTGAGCATGACTGGTGCAAACCCTTTGCTCAGCCACAGACTCTACAGGGACACCATATGGCTGGTTTAGACAAAACTCTGTGGTATTTTTACTCCTTTATACCCAACCAACTCACAGTTAATCCATGGCATCCCTCAAAGGGCACCAGACTATTCATCCAGCTGAGTGAAAAAACACAGACTCATTTTGACACTGTATCAGCTAACTCTGCAGATAACCCCAAAGCTTGCCAAGAGGACAAGCCTGATGTCATGCAAGCCCTGAGCAGAGCAATCCCAGATCTTGGTGAGGGTATCAGCTCCGGGAATTTTCCACCCCTCTGATGAGAGCTTGGATGCTGGAATTTATATTGAATAAGGAAACATATTAAGGGAGGACAGAAGATCAAAATTCTAAATAAAAGCACCATTAATGATATAAACTGGGAAGTAACGGAAGATCCACAAGCTAAGCATAGAGACAGAGAATTAAGTGCTAATAATCCAGAAAGTCTTCCACCCAAATCTATTCTGACACTTGAACATTTGAACCTGCTTTAAGGACAATCTAAAATAAGATCGAGCACCCAGCAGCTGCATTCATACTGAGCTTTCCTTGGAGAAGGGAAACAGGCATAATTTCCTTTAAGCCCTCCTCCAGATATAAGGTGCAGCTACAGTACACACTAGTATGTATCCCTCCCCATCCCAAACACACATTGCCTTTTCCATGCAACTACCAGCTATGCTAGCATGCCCCATGCCAGGGCTTGCCTTGCCTTGCCTTGCCTTGCCCAGGAGAGCCCCAAACCTGCCTGTCTGACTTGGCTTATCATGGGTGGTCACTGCAGGGCTGGAGGGGAAGGTGGAGGCAGCCTGTTCTGTTTATTTATTTGCAGGGGATGAAAGCCAAACTGCGAAAGGACTTTGGTAAAGTGCAGTCAAGTGACTATAAAGTACTGCTTTAAAAAGGCACAAGGTCACCTTTGCTGACATTTGGATAAGGATTTTATAGAAGTCACAGGACTGGGAGATGGGCTTGTTGTGCCTCTGATCCAAGGGGAGGGAGGGATTTATGTTCTGGTTAAGAACGCTGCATTGTTGTGACTCTTTTATCTTCATAAATGCTCATTTATTAGGCTGTTGGATAAAAGAGGCTGATTGGGCTTTTTCTTCACACTTACTTAGTTCCAGGTGACTTCCTTGGCTCTATTGACACAACTTCATGAAATTTAACAGCCTGACTACCCACCAGTATTCCCCAGGTGCCCTGTCCTTGCATAGTCTGTCTTCTTACTTGGTTAGACCTTAGCTATTTCAAGGCTGTATTTCATTTGAACACAATGTGAGAACTCATATATATCATCCTCTCAGATGAAGAACTGGCACACAAGAATGCTGGAATCTGAAGGATTTGGACAGATGGGCTTTGCTATGATGTGTGTTTTGAAGCTGGTGCTTGTGTATAGGTATGTGTGTGTGTCTGTGTGCTCAGTCTGAGAAGCAGACTCTGATTGTTAAGCCCTGCACAGCCTGGAAAAGCAACCTTAAGCAAACCTGAGACGAATGTGTCCAGGAAGAAGGAGGA